CTCCAGCCCCTCAGCAGCTTCACAGCCTCCACTGGACTCTCTCCAGTAGTTCCTTGTCTCTCTTAAATCATGAATCCCAGAACTGGACCAAATACTCCAGAGGTGGCCTCCCTGGGGCAGAGTAGAGGGGGAGGAGAACCTCCCTGGGCCTGCTGGCCACACTCTTAATGCACCCCAGGACACCATTGGTCTTGGCCATCAGGGCCTACTGCTGGCTCATGGGGAACATGCCCAACAGCACTCCCAGGTCCTTCTCCATGGAGCTGCTTTCCAGCAGGCCAACTCCTGACCTGTGCTTGTGCAGGGGGTTCCTCCTCCCCAGGTGCAGGACCCTCCACTTGCCTTGTGTGCAAGAAGTGTTCAGAAGTGTGCTGTGGGGGAAAGGTCCTCTGTGCCTGCTCAGCCCTGAGCTGTGGCAGCTGACTCCTCCAGGTCTCCACCAGGAGAACAGCAGGACCTCTGCCTCTCAACACAGAGACACCTGTCTTCTCAATTCCACACCAGGAAGGAGGAGGGGACCTGCCAGCAACTCCTCAAAGCAAACTGCTCAACCTACCTCTTCCACATACTGGTACATGATGGCTCTGACAGCCTGGATGTTTGTGGCATCCATCATCAGAGTGACAGCTTGTCCCTTCCGGATCTTCACCACACCCCTGAACACCTGCTTGTTGTTGTAGCAGGCAGCCAACGTGGCAATAGCCATCACCTGAGGAGAAACACCACCACAGCCTTCACCAGATGCACTGGGAGGAACCTTGGGGACAGTGAAATCCATGGCAAGACTCTCTGGAGTGAAGCCACAACCTCCCCGACCGCAGAAACAGCAGGGACCAGGAACAGGATGGAGACAGAAGAGGTGGAGGAGAAGAGAGCCTGATGTTGCACCACCTCCTTCCCCTCCACCTGCCCATCAGCTGGAGAACCACTCAGAAGCAGAACTCACCTGGGGGATGGCACAGAAGTTGAAGACACTCTGGTTCCTGAGGCGGGACAGGTAGGTGAGGACGTCAGGGACGTGGTGCAGGGCGTTGGTCACCAGCTCGTTCAGACACTGGACAGCCCCATCAATGTTCTCTGGCTTGGCAAGATCTGAGAGCTTCTTGGCATATCTGCTCCAAACCTAAACGTCAAGAGAAGGATTCACAAGTTGGAGGGTACGTTGGTGCCCTAAGAGAGACATCAGCAACGGTCTGAGCTCTGGGACAGCAACAAGAACCATCAGGGACCTACAAAGGCCTTGGCTTAGGAGCTTGCTAGGCTACAGAGAAGGGCAAGCTGTGGAGACATGAGAGTGGCCTTCCTCTAGGCAAAGGGATGGTAAAGAAGAAGGATGCAACTCATCTCCACATCTTCTCTGGGCTGGGCAATGAAAAGGTGCATCACACGTGAGGCTGATATCACAAAATCTTCTCTGAGACTGGTGAGGCACGTGGAAAACGGAGGGAAATGTTCTTGGAGGGGCTCAAGGAGAGCAGACAATGATCTGGCAGGCACAGGCAGAGCTGACCCTGCCTTTGGGAACAGAGCAGGGACCCTCTTGGGATCTCACCCTGTCTTATCCTCCCTCATGGCTAGAGCCAACTAGCAGAGAAGAGAAAAAGCTGCCAAAAAAGTTCTCGGCCCCAAGGGGAGACATGAGCTCATGCCCACCCCTGCACCCAGAGAGCTGCAGAGAGATGTGGAACTCCCCAGTCAGCTGCCATCAGAAGAACTGTTATACTCAGGGGTACACCCAGCAGCACTCATCTTGGCTGCCAAGAAGCTCAATGTGCACTGGCAGCCCCAAAGCCCCCCCCAGCCTGGGCTGCCCCCCCAGCAGCGTGGGCACAGGGCAGGGAGGGGATCCTGCCCCTCTGCCAGCTCTGGGAGACCCCCCTGCAGTGCTGGGGCAGCTCTGGAGTCCTCAGCACAGCAGAGCCAGGGAGCTGCTGGAGCGGGGCCAGAGGAGCCCCAGCAATGCCCCGAGGGGGGAACCCCTCTGCTGGGAGCCCAGCAGGAGAGAGTTGGGCTGGGGCAGCTGAGAGGAGAAGGCTCCAGCTGGGGAGACCTGCTGGGGGCCTGTCAGCATCTGAAGGGGCCTCCAAGAAAGCTGGGGAGGGACTTTTCACAAGGGCTTGTAGTGATAGGACAAGGGGTAATGGCTTTAAACTGGAAGAGGGGAGATTTAGATTAGAAATTAGGAAGAAGTTCTTTACTGTGAGGGTGGTGAGACACTGGCACAGGTTGATCAGAGGCTGTGGATGCCCCAGCCCTGGGGGGGCTCAGGGGCC